GGTTGGGGGGGGGGGGGGGGGGGGGCTGAAGAACGGTCAATCTTTACTTCCTGTATACGATGAATGTAGACTGTGAACGCGAGTTTGTAACGCTGGTCAAGAAATAGTGTCACTCGGTAGACCATGATTCAATCGTTAACCCATTTTCATAGTAAGGATTAATGACCTTATCATTAATTATTTTGTACGGTACTATTTCGAGTGGTCAGTGCATATAGTATATATGTATAATACATATAGTACATATAGTATAGTAGCTACTTTGCAATCACCACACTGGAAAATTGTTTCGCTCTTTTCTTCTGTTATAAAAAGCGACCCCAGAGTGGAATCTTCTAAAATCTAGTAAATCAGCTATCAGATAATCGCATTATTCAGTCCAACAGCTGTAGAGTGGAACAGTAACAATTGAAGGGCTCGGTGGTAAACAAGCACGTGCCTCAATTTTATAATTGAAGTAGAGTATAATTGAAGTATAGTTGAAGTAGAAGAGAATTAGATCTATTGGAATAGATTGCAATTTGCATAGAAAATGCGATACGGAACGGTATTTATTTTAAATAATACATAAAATAGGTATTACCGCGAAAATGTTTTATTGTCACATATTTTATCGACGTTATCGAGGTTACATATAACGCCATCCAATGACAAGTGAATGATTGAATACAGACAGGTTATATATATAAAACGAATTCACGACTATACAAACGAGCCAACAAAATCAAAGAAAACAACATAATTGATGCACACGTGTCATGCGGCTACATCCCACCGAGTCCCATAATTCTTCTTAGATGCTGTATCGAATTCGCGCTTCCATATCAAAAAATCCGAATATCAAATTAAACTAGAATCTATTAGAACCAGCATGAGTCCAACGTCGGATGCTGATCGAACCGGGTCCAAAGAGGTCGAAGGTAATCTACGGTGGCGAATAAAACACTGTAGCAGAAATTCGCAATGAGGCGGAGCTGTTGCACTTGAAACTAATTGAAACGGGCACCGAGGGGGTACGGTCGCGACGAAGGAGAGACTAGAGGGGGAGGGCAGGGAGGGGGTTATCGAGGGGCTCTCGAACGCGTTCGCAAACATATTGCATAATCGGTAATAACTACGAGCCGGTCGGGCGGTTCGCCTTAGTATCGGGGCATTAATTATCACACCGTGACGTTTCGCTCGATCTTCTAATAACGGGCGTCCAGGGGCGGACACGCGCATAAGCCGAGGCAATTCAGAGCGCGCGCGCTTATTCCCACCGCTGGATCTGCTCGCGTGTTGGTGAGCAGAGCATGCATCGGATCGCATCGGATCGGCTGGGATCGGATCGGATCGTGGCTGAGAGCGAGAGCAGGTTTTACGGTCTCCCCGGAACGGGAACAGGAAAGACCGCGCGGCCTGATAATTTATATGCGAGCGTAGATCGGCTGGTGTATAGGCAATAGTTAAAGCCTGTTAATTTCCGGCAGTGAAGTTATATCCGGCGCTAAAGTCCGATGCAATTAAACGTTAGATGCTACCGCGGGCCCGGGGGGTGCTCGGGCGGCATCCACTTCGGCTATAACGAGGACACTTTGAATTCGAAGGCTGGCAAAAGGGTGGCGTCGCGGCGCGCAGCCCGGTTCGAAGGGATTGCACGCGTCGCGTCGTCTCGCCTCGCGACCGCTGCCGCCAAGGGAAAAGATCGTGCTCGTACCGCTCGCCTCGCTTTAGTAATTCTATATAGGCGTGTCTCCTATATTCGATCGTCTCGAGGATTTTCTTCATTATAAGTTCCAACGATGCGCCGAGCGATCGTCGCGTCTCTCTCGACGAGAGGCAATGCCAAGGATCCGCAAGACTTTCCCGCCGAGGAGACGCCTATGCCCGTTCATTTTCGAGTGGTTGCGCTTCAATTTCACTTCACGCTCTGGCAGCATGCACGACTTACCAACATGTCTTTTAACGAATTCCCGGGGCCGAGGGAGATCACCAGTTACCACTTTGAAGATGCTACCCGAGCATGTGCGCCGCGGCCTCCTATTTGCCGACTTGGGGAGGATTTCACTCGAGGTACGTTGCCAGACGGCAACGTTAACGCCGCCCGATCATCGGCGTGGGTCAACGCGATCCACTCAACGGAGCCACGCCACCAGAAGATCCTCCAGAAATGCGACGCCAACGCGCACAGTTACATCCGCTTCCAGGGTTACTCCGACCCCTGATGACGCCCGATACACTCCCAGCCAGATGATTGCTACCTTCAACGTCACGCCGACGCTTACATTCGGCTGGTCCGTGTAAAGTTTATAAACGCCGTTTGCGAACTACATTTGTCGTTTCACGGAATCAAAACTGTGCAATGTGTCTTGATCAGAAGACGCTATATCTGCGAGAGTATCGTTTTAAAGTCTGGAATCCAAGCTTCCAAGCACAATCCTTCGTTTTCTCATTTAGACACCTATCGACGTGATTAGTACCGTGCGACGCGAATAAAGAGATGAACGTATCGCGATACAGTTAGACGTAACGTGAACACATTTCTGTCGTCTTAGTATGACAAATAAATGCGTCAGCTTTTTCTGACCATGGCCAAAGAAAGGCGATCTACCATGTTCTGTACCAGATTTTGCCTCAGACTCCTAACACTAGTTTTACGGAGCACTAAAAGCGGCTGTTTTATATTGATTCATAAGATCGATATCATTTATTCTGACTTTAAACGAGCGCTATCGTAACATTTGCCGCAAGTAACGCATACGTTGGATAAATAGCTCATGAATACATCTTTGCAGCCTGAATAATCGTAAATTAAGCAATTAGTGGCCCGTCATTTTAACGGGTTTAAACCTAGCGTTAAGTTTCGAACGAAATTGAAACTTGTCTGACCAAGAACGACTTCGTCGGATACCGTTGTCACGACCATGAATTCTATGTTCGTACCAAAACATTCTGCCGGGTTCGTACCGAACGTCGTATCTGCTTACAGCGTGAATAATAATAGCAAGTTGTTAATCGGAAAAACGGGATCGAACTCACGCCGACGAGAAGGGTGGCCGAAGCACTCTGCACCTCGATGACGAAGAAGGCACACGGGTGTCGTCGCGTCGCTAAATCCCGCAATCTGTCTGACACTTGCTGACCGCACTCCCTAACTGCCGAGCCGAACAATGTCGCCGGATTATTACACCAGCATGATCGTGTCACCCCGTCTCCCTTTCTTTTCCCCGCATATTTCTCGCTCCGGCGTCGCCTGCCTCCGTTACCAATGACGGAGGATACCTATTATAATATATATTATAATAATGTGGGCCACAATGGATTCGCGTCATATCCTGGCTCTGTCCCCAGCCCGGCTATCAATTAGATCAGCGCACCCCAGGCCTGTGCCCGGAGATATCGCTCACACCCACCCACCGAGCTCTCGATCCATCTGCCTCTCTCCTCGCTGCCAATCGACCTTCCCTCCCCATTGTCGCCGTCGTTGTCTTCGCCGTTGACTTCGTCGTCGCGGCTGCTCCGCCTTTCCCGTTTCCGTTTAAGCAGCATGCGATAGAGCTATTACCGGCGGACAAGCGAGAAACTCAATTTAAATTACGACTTCTTGCCGTTGTTACGACCGTTATTATAACGTTAGCCTTTCACGGCGATTCCTCTGCTCACGTGTCTGCAGCTGCGCCGAGCCACACGCCTTCGGCCGGGGTGCATCTCCGCGCGGAGTGCCGATGCGATTGCCGAACCTCGTATGCTTCGACGAGCTTGCCTGCCGATCTATTTCCGCCGTGGTAGAAACGAGCGGCTTTTGTATTTTTGCTACGAGGACTTTGACATGCGAATCAGAATCTTTAAAAGTCCCGCACAATCGGAGCGATTTATCCAGAGAAATTGATATTGGGACGTTCGAATGCCTGAATAATAATTGTGGCAAGTAGACCGCGGATTTGTGTGCAATATAAAAATTGTCTGTATCACAATTTGAAGAAGTGGGAACTAAACGAAAAGTTCATTCTGTTTTAAATAATTTGATTAGATCGAAAATAATAATATGTTACTTTTACGTTCTTTTGATCTATTTTAAATCGAATCATCTTTGTTCCACGTGCATAAAATCTGCAGTGTCGTGACAAGACTAACACACATGCATCGAGTGTTGCTAGATTTAAAACGAGACTTTATAAACTGTTCGCTGATTCACTGATTCTCCGTCATTCAACATACGTTATGCTTGTGTTTCCGTTGTAAAAACGGGTGTTTGCCCATGTATAATACACATATACGAATAAATAAAGAGATACGCAATCTGACAATATTATCTGAAAAGAATCGTTTAGAATAAAAGTTTCCCGCTTCGATACCGTGTCATCTTTGTTATCGTGGAACCGATCTAAAGTCGTTTTTCAAATTGCAACACAACCGTCACCGGTCTGACTTCGACAAACGCGATCGTCCGTTCTTGCCAACGTTGCAACAGTCACTGCTACCTTCAACCTTAACGATGCGTCGCAACGCGGTCTAACTAATTGCGCCGAATTGCCGAGTGTCGCCTCGGAATGTTTTAATTGATTGCCATAGGTTTTTCCCTCGCCGAAGGTTACAAAGCAAGGTCGCCTTGCTCGCGTAGGTCATTGAATCTCGTCGGGGAGTCAGCTGCAACGCAAATGCGAACGCGAACTAAAAGCGTACTCGAGGCATTCGCGTCTGGATTCCAACGGTTCCCGATGATCCATATCGCTCTGATTTTTCCGAGATCCGCGGCTGTTCCAGGTGGTCCAGACGCCGTGCGGTGGAACGACTGAACGATTCACCTCGAAGGTGAACAGAGATTCGTTTCGCGTGACGACGCGGCGTGTGTCGTAATGGGCTATGCAAATTTATGATGATGCGTTCGCGATAATAGCATGAATTACCCGGGCGACGGGGATGTTCCGAGTATTCCGTGAAATTTAGCGCGCAATCCCGAGGTTAATGCGCGTTCAAGTACTAAATTTCTTATCGGGGGATAAGTCTATTAGCGCGCGCCATTATGCCCTCTAAACTATACAGTTACGAGCTTCAGCTGAAATCTTGCAGCTGAATCGAGAAACGTTTCGCAGAGTGAATCAAGTTTAGAGATCGCACGAACAAAACAATGCGATGAACATACAGATGCGTGAAACGCATTTGTATGGCGTTCGTGGGTGGGCGAAAAAGTACAAGACAAATTTTAAACAAAATGAGGTAAGTCGTCGTTTTCAGAAAACGTAAATGGTTCTACACTCAAGAAACTGTAATTATTGTAAAAATTGTTAGTACAAGCCTGTATTGCAAAGTTTCAAGGTTTCGTCTCAGACGATCATATAACGTGTATAAAAACCAAAAATATTAAATATATGTACATTTATTGAAAGGAAGGTGCATTAATTAAAATCAATGTAAAATTGGTTTTACGGTGACACTTCTGTTTGTTCACCACAAGTGCTTCTCAACCGCTTTTTATTAATCTTTGAACCTCTGCGTTAAATTGTATAATATTTTCAATTACTATAATGTGTTGCAATCAAGACAAGGCCCGTGGAAGGAAACGCAGGAAGATACCTTGAAGGAACTGACTGCCAGACTATAACGAATAGTAAAAGCTGTTATTGCTCAAAGAGGTGGACATGCAGATGAATACAATATTTAATCATTTTCATTAATTTATTACGAAATTATTCGATCTACGACACACATCGCATACTATCAACACTATAATAAAATAGAACTTTTAATCGTATCTTACCCAGTGTCGAAATACTTATACGCGATAGTGTAAATCCTGTGTTGTCATTAGACTGCGGATCTATGTGCAAAATAATTTATCCAATTTAACTATAAGAATCATCGATTACATGCAAATACATTTCCCCTTTCAATGACTGTAACAGGTAGAAAATAATGTCTGTATCTCCATGTCTGTATATTCTGTCAGTATCTCCACAGTTTTGCACTTCACTTTGTCATTTTTGTCAAATTCATAAGACTCGCATAAAACATCCAACATCTAAAACTTGCTGTTTTATATTATTTAATATATTTTGCTATTATATATATATATATAATATATTTATTTTATATTATTTAATATATTTTGCTATTATATATATAATATTATTATTATATATTATAGTATATATTGCTATTTTATATTACGCTTTGTGTGAGCACTTCTATCATCGTTTGCAACAGAAACAACATCGTCAAAGACAAATTTTACATCAGAAGAAAATGAAAATCGAAGTGGCGATGTCTGAGAAACATCGCGCAACTGCTACAATCTTGTTGCATGTTTCCATTTCTCGATTTTATGCACGTTTCCGGTGCAATCTATGGTCGGCCGATAGATAGCACGATCTCTTGCTCGCACGCCAAGCGCAAAATACTAATCGGCAAGGGTCCAATCGAGCCAGAACATGGCCGATTGTTTAGCGGACTCGTCTACCGGATTGAATACGATTTCTCGTTCTTTTTAGGGATCGCTTTCGCTTTCCGGAGACGAGACAATGACGTCCGACCTCCGGGCGAGCGAATCGAGAGAACGTTCGGCCGCGGGGCAAAACGGGAGGTCGGTTGATGATGAAGAAGACGACGAAGAAACAGAAGCAGAAAAAAAGAGGAGGATCAAGAGAAGTTGAAGTGGAAACGGCCTGACGTCGGTGAGACACGCGGGAGCAAGAAGAGTCCGAAGAAGAAGAGCAGCGAGGAGAAAATGGCCACGCGGAAGGGAAAGAGGGAAGATCAATAAGAAGAAGAAGAAGAAGAAGAAGGAGAAGAACAAGAAGAAGACACGGAGGAGATTGACCCTCTGGCCCGCTCCTCGTACGCAGGCGAACACGCACGCGACCGGTTTGTTTCACCCCGATGCGATGCTAAACGAAGTTTTACCCGCCGGCTGCACCGGCAAATCGTTCCGCTGCGTTTCGCTGCGCTGCCAGTACGGTTTGCGTCCACGAGATTGACAACGCTCTTCGGCCAGGCTGATTGCGAGCCCTGGACCGGTATGAAGATGTGAACCGGCCTCGACGCGAGCCGCCGCGGCTCGCATTGTATCCGGATCGGCTTTCTCGCATTGTCCCGCGCGATGAATACGCTCGGGACTCGGGACACCGATTATGAGCGCCGGCTAGAACGGGCCAGGCTGCGATTGGCTCGATGTCCGGGGGTTTGTCGTGGCCCGTGTGCTCTCTAATTTGTGCTATCGACGGCTGATGGATGATTAGACGCGACGTAATGACGAGAGTGACCGATTGTACCGCGCGGCTCGTTGGTAATGGTCCAACGACGAGGGTGACTCCGACACAATGGCCGAAGGGCGAGCCTTCGAGGTATCTAGGTCCTCTGGCTCTGCCAGCAGACTGGGCGACCTACTTCATCTAGGCTAGCATTAATCGATCAGCGGCTGATTGCTGCTGCGTTTAGGATGCTCTTTAGACACTCGGTTTGACTATCGAGCTGTAGAAATTACTATTGCTTAAAATTGTTACGTAACGTTTCAAAATCATTTTAACAGTATCAAATTTGTCAAAAATGTATTCTTCAGATTTGTTGCTTCTTTTATTATGATCAGGATCTCGATCCGGATCTTTATGAAAAATGTTGGAATTTGCTAATTGTTTATTTACTAATAATGCAATACAAATATGATACAGTGTTTAATAAAGCATCTAGCGGATATAAAATGTACTTTGTGTGAAGAAGAGTGACTGTATGTGAAGTCGCGGAGATACTGTCTGACAGATCGTCTTCTAGGCTGACGAACGCCTCTGTAGTTCTATGGGAAGTAGCTACTCGCACTGGAACGTGCAGTCCTTTTATACTATTCCTTCAGAAGGTCGGGCTTGTACCTGCATTTATGAAGCCCGGGGTTGTACCTTTATTTATTGCCCCTGTAGACATGTGTGTGTGT